TTGTTACTTATTGACTATTAAGTAAAATGGGTTTCCATTAATTTCCTTTTCGTTGTGTCATCGACTTTCATTTTATAAAAAGGGAAAATTTGGAATTTTACTTGTAGGTGTTGTGCACATTTAAAGATATGTCTATTTACAAATAAGGGCCCATTTTCAATATTACAATCCCGTCGATGGTTACGTACTCTATCCCGTAGATGCGTGGACGTCTCCCCTATGTAGAAATTTAGACAAGCATTGCAAGTCAAGACATATATGAGATTTTTTGTGTCACAATTCATATTGTCGTTGACACTAAACGTAAACTTATGAAAATTATATTTGTTATTTGGCGTAATATGGTCGCAACATTTACATCGAAGATCCGCGCATTTAGATACATACAAGCCGGTCCTTGTGATAGATGAATTGAATTTTGCTTTGGTTAGGAGGCGTTTGAGATTAGGTGGCTGTCTTTGTGATTTAATGAATTGAACATTATCAAATTTCGTTCTGAGGTTGTCGTTTGATGCCAGGATTGCCCTGCTCTCGTACATTATTTTAAAGAAGTTGGGATGTTGGGGGTTATGAGTAGAGACAAAGGTTATATTATCAGAACTGTCTTTTGCTTTAGTAGCCCTCAGTGTTTGGATATCAATTGCCAAAGCCTTATTTATCCCAACTTCTATTACCTCGAGGGGGTAGTACTGTTTCAATAAATTTCTTTTTAGCTCACCTAATCTGACAACTCGGAGGTTTTCATCTATCACAATAGTGCATATTTTTCTAGCTAAAGAAAAGGGTATATTATTTTTGGTATGGCGTGGGTGACATGATTTATATGAAAGATAGTTTTTGGTATCTGTTTCTTTAGAATACATATCCGTTATAAGGGGTTCTCCCCTTTGTTTCACTAGTACGTCCAAGAATGCGATTTGCAGATCGTTCATTTCAATTGTGAATTCGATATTTCATTCCAAATACAGAATATATCGCCTAGGAATCGTTTCAACTGATTTTCTAAATATAATCTGTAATCCACGCCATGTTCAATTTCTACAATTGAGTATAGTTTTTCCTCAAGGAATCCCATTGTTAAATTACTTAATTGTGGTGCCGCCTTGGTACCCATCGCTATACCAAGAATTTGTTTGTAATTTGTTTCGCCAAATGTAAAAGTGTTGTTAGTCAGGATGATTCGTATAGCTTTGAGAATGAAGTTGTTTGATATAAGCTTATCGAGGGGAAAAAATTAAACAAATGAGAAAGAAAAATCGCAAAAAAACATACATTCAGAGGACAATAGTAGTTAATAAGGATTAAGAGATTTCACATGGTTTACTAATTCCCTTTTGAAAATAAAACATGAAGATACATGTTCCACAGTTTGAGGTGGTGAATTCCAGAATAAAGAAGTAGTATAGAATGTTATTATCATTGGCCTTTTTGTTACGTTTTGGAATTGCTAATTTAAGTTGACTTTTTGATCTCAATGTCATGGTAGTTTCGGTCAATTTAGAATTTTCATAGAATATGTTGATGGTAATTAATCTCTTAGAATTTTGAAATTGAGCATTTCCTGATTGTATTAAATTCGTTGGTAGAATGTGAACTAATTAAGAGATTCAAATAAAAGCACCCAATGTGAATCAGGTTTTACATCCAAATTGCTTCTTGTTGCACGTTTTGAAAGTTTCTACAAGACCTCTAGTTTACCTTTATTGGCATTACCCCAAACTGTGGAACGTGATCAAAACATGGTATAATATAGCCGTTGAAAAATAAAATTCTAATATAAATAAGGGTTTAGCGATTTATTATTTGTATCGGGTACAGGGTATGTTTAGTCTTTCTAGACACCGTCGTTCTACTTTACTATTTTGGGTATTGATTATTGTGATATACTCTCATTTAGTAAGTACATTTACTATAAATTATCTCGATTTGGCCATTCTGTTAATGGATTTTTGTACGGAATCGCCCTTAGATATAAAATCTATTTTATACGCACTTTATAAACAAATAGCTTATTGAAGTCGGATTTAAAACAATTGTTAACAAAACTATGTTGTACGTTTGTATTTTAATCAGTTGGTACATGTTTGTCTAATTGGTATCACACTCATCATCAGTGAATATTCGCTAGATCCCTAATATCACTGAGAGGGATGACATTGATGCGAGTTAATGAGCTCGTAATATTAACTTTTTTCCTTCTGCAAATTAAATTCTAAAACATTTTTTGTAGTATTAGAAAAATAAATAAATATGTTTGAAGTATATCTGAAAAAAAAAAATTTCCTATTTAGTTATAAATGAGTATATAAATAAAATGATTAAAAGACACCATTCTACACGGAACAGTCCATGTTGTGTAAACATTGAACGAGCTTTCGAGCCAATGACCGGGGTGACGTGACGTCACATGTAGAATCAACTTGAACTTATAAAAAGGTCAGAGGTATTGCGATTACAATAACTCTGTGAACCAGATTGAATTGGTATAGGTACAGCTATGAGCTTTAACGTGTCATCAACACTTATCACATTTTTGTTATGACCGCGACATCTCCCGATAATCTTCCTGAAAGTAGTTTGTCTTCTGTCAAGCTATATTTTACACACAAATGCAATAGGTACTCAACAACCAAAATAATATAGCTCATTGACAATAACACAGAGGTAACACCAGACATGTTAGAGAATGTGCTAATCCCATGACATCTGTCAGATCACCTGGACTGTAAATATGATTAGAAATTCACCGAAGATCACCTCCACCGCCTTAGAAATTCCACCATTAATTAATTACTCAGCAATTAAGATTATACAAACTATACATCCCAAATTTAATTATAGACAATGTTGTCCAGGATAAACACATACAGCCAACGACGAAGTACATGATTCTTATCATGTAGTACATGTAGACTGTTAGAGAAACTTGGTTTTTAATAAGAAATTTGATAGCTCAGTGTTCTGTTGTGTTCGGATTTCAGGACGGAAGTATTTGTAAAACAAAATATATAATGGAGAAAGCGGTCTACACTTACTTAATAATTTGGGGAAATCCATGTAATAATAACTAAAAAACATTTGTACTTTTTCAGGCTAAAACACCCCATTGAATATAATGTTGCCCGATTTGATTGATTTAAGCTGAAATTAATATTTCAGAAAATGTAGCTTTAGGCAAGACTACCAAACAGAGTTCATCTTTAATCCAGACTGGATATAATTCATCTAATGCTGTAGATGGTGAACGTCAGGATAAATATGGATCTTGCTCAGTTACAAATAATGACATCAAATCATGGTGGTGTGTTAATTTACAGAAGCCATACAAAATCAACGAAATTAATGTTTATGGTGAAAATAGAAATAAAGGCAGTAAGTGTATAGTAATTTTATATAAGGATAATTTAATCATATGTTGTCAATCTCCTATGCACTGTATAAAAGACGTTTAAATTATTATACTGTATTATACCAATAAGATGTCTATCAATGTACACCGTACGGAGGATATCACTAAACTCATAATAGTTTAGAGGTGTAAATTCTCACTTGGGATATAACACACTTAAAATGATTCTTCAATTCTTCAATATACCGGAACATAAATATACATATATCGTCATACAGTACTGACAGGCCGGTTACTGCACTTAGTAAGGGATCCTAGTGACTGCCATCAATGTACAAATTTTGTTATATTTAAGAAAAATCAGATAATAGGACAAAAGCAAATGTAATTAAAACTGACATGTCGATTGTTGAACAATCCATAAACTGTTAAACAATATGATAAATCAACAAAAACAATAGATAGAATTAACTGGTGACTGGTTAACGACTTGCATGCCAGTTGATCTTAAAGTGGTTAATTTAAGAAACATTAATTATATTAGCGATTGGCAGATTATCACACCATTATAAAAGTTAAAGAACAATATTGTTGTCAGTCATTATCACATATGTGATAGAACTGGTTAAAAACTTTTCAAATATAATTTTAACACGCAGATCATTGCTACGATAGATGTGTAACAAACATTTGAACACACGGAAGTGACGCAAAAAATGGAAAACACGAGTTATCCTTATATATAACTGACTGAAGTAGCGAGCGATAACAGATACACGGGTGAATTTCTGCTCACTGATAATTACTTCGAAGACCAAAAGTTGTTATATGAGACTGTGAGAGGAAATCTGACAAGTTATAAAAAGTACTGAATGTCACCGTGGAAGATTAAAATAGACGAAAATGGGTCTACAAGCACACATTAATATAATATGAATATTATAGTGATTCATATTCAATTTTTAAATTTTTATTGTAATTCTAATCAATCATGTTCGGTGAAATACGTGAACAGTCCAAATTGAAAGGCAATCGTTTACACCTGCTTAGTTCATGCTGCACATGTTTTTCATTATTATGTCGTTTGTGAATCAGCCATTGCTAATTACTTCTACATTGTCTTGTAGGATATATTTTTCTTTGTTCCTTACAAACGGCACCCAAAACCATAGAAATACACTACTCGTGTACGGATATTAAAGAGTTCATTATGTCTTAAATATTAGGATTGAAATGGGCCAATATTGAATTTTAATTCGTGTTTGTTATTTTGAATTTTATGGAAAATATTGAGTTAAAAGAAATAGACACCGCAAAATAAGAAAATATAATAAAAATAGTTGAATCGGTGTTTTTAAAAGCTATTTTAAGATCAACTAAAGCATGTCATTTGTAAACTTAGTAATCTGAAAGTATCTCCTGGAAAAAAAATTAACCTCATTTCTGTGTATAGATGTTTTGAAAGCGTTTAATCAAATCTACAGAATACACTGGTAAGCTAACCATTTTTTCTGTATCTAAACTGTGGGTATTTCTGATATTTGTCCCACTTACTGATCTGCATACATTTTAAATATTTCATTCACAGATTACACTTATAGGTTTCTATTTGTTTATTTTAGCTGAAGTCAGCTTTACTAATTTTTCTGTAATGATCAGTGATACTGGTAGTTGTGATGAAGCAACTCTTAAATCATCACCAGTTTGTTATAAAGATCCTGGTAGTAATAGAAATCCGTATAGTATAGATAGATGTAATCAACAAGCAGATGTAGAGTTGACAGGACATATTGTATTTATAACAACAGACATTGAATATACATCTCTAGAATTATGTGAAGTAGAGGTTTATTCAGGTGATAAACATTTTTATATATTGATGAGTGGGATGAATATTTTATTTGTCTATTTAAATATATAAACAAAAAAAGACTGGACAGGTGTTTAAAGGGCAAATCTGAACGATAAGGCATCAGTTGGTTTAGTTTAAACAATATTATATTCAATAAACTGAACTGGGTTGAACAACAGGCAAAGGCCTATAAAAGTTCCCTCCAAACATACAAAACAGTTATATCTTATGTTTACAATAGACAATGGTGGACATATGTATATACAGTGAGTTACAAACATATATACATTTCTTGGAGTCTAATAGTAGGGTATTACATTTTCATTTTAGATTATGAAATTTATATAAGATAAAAAGTATTGCATATTGTAAATAAAATATTAAAGTGTTAAAATCTCTTGCTATCTTTAATGTATTTTTGCACTATGTTAAATATGTTAAAATTGGTATCATCTGAAAGGTTGGGGTTGCCATATAAGATTAGGTTAATTGTAACATTTTGTTTGAGGCGGTGTAAATTACTAGCTTTATAGTATTTGATAGTCAAAAAAAAATCATTCACCTAACAATTCAACGAACATGTTAGTCATATACAAATGTCTAATGTGAAATGAAACAAACAAATAAGATTATGTATTTATATATTCCGGATATTATCTAACATACATTTTCTATACTAATCTTTTTGGTTATTACGTACAAAATACCTGACCCAAAACGTTCTCGTCGGTCGTTGCTTGTGATTGATAGGAACAAATAAGACGTGCTTAAACAGTTAACGTGCTATATTTATAAATTGTTTATACCGGTTACAGTATGCCACTTTCTTATTTATTAATCAATAATATGATATTAATTTTAATTATCAGCTCGGTGTTCAGATGGATATTATGAAAAATCTAATGGAACATGTTCATCTTGTAAGTGCGGTGGCAAACCATGTGATGACAATACAGGACACTGTAAACCATGCCCTATAAATTGTAAGAATGATAAATGCGATGTTACTGGTAGATGTACAAATGGCTGTAATGTGGGATTCTATGGTATTAATTGTACGGGTGAATGTAGTCCAAACTGTAAAGGTAATGTTTGCTACGGATCTGGGCCCTTATTCGCGAAAACTTAAACTAAGATACAATCGAAATTTTAAGAAATACTGCAATTCGATTGGCTGACCAATATGCAAATTGGATATATGAAAATTGATTTTACTGGTCAGCCAGTCGAATTGCAGTATTTCTTAAAATTTCGATTGTATCTTAGTTTAAGTTTTCGTGTATAAGGGCCCTGGTGTATGTTCAGCTTGTAGAGAAGGATATTATGGCGATAACTGTTCCATGAAATGTTTCAATTCTTTACCAGGTGGTTGTAACATGACGAATGGTTTCTGTATTAATGGATGTAAAGAAGGTTTCTATGGTAATGATGGAATGTGTAAGCTAGTATGTTCAAACTGTAATCCCGGTGGCTGTAAAATGAAAGATGGAACTTGTATTAACGGGTGTAAAGATGGATTTTATGGTGGGAGATGTAGATCGAACTGTTCAACATGTAAAGACGGTAGATGTGAGCGTGGTGTTTGTACCAATGGATGCAAAGACGGGTTTTATGATCGTGGTGGATGGTGTCTCAAAAAATGTCCAAATTGTCTACCAGGAGGATGTGATAAAGATGGTGGTGTTTGTATCAGTGGATGTATAGATGGTTGGTATACAGATACATGTAATACAAGTTGTAGTAGTTATTGTCAAGGTGGATGTAATAGATCAAATGGTGTATGTAAAACATGTTCTCCAGGTAGATATGGTGATACCTGTCAACATGAATGTAGTAGTTATTGTCAAGGTGGATGTAATAGATCAAATGGTACATGTACAATATGTTCTCCAGGTAGATATGGTGATACCTGTCAACATGAATGTAGTAGTTATTGTCAAGGTGGATGTAATAGATCAAATGGTACATGTACAATATGTTCTCCAGGTAGATATGGTGATTATTGTCAATATGAATGTAATAGTTATTGTCAAGGTGGATGTGATAGATCAAATGGTAAATGTAAAACATGTTCTCCAGGTAGATATGGTGATTATTGCCAACAAGAATGTAGTATTGGTTGTGTTTATAACATATGTTCTACAGATGGGTCGTGTAGTTGTAAAGCCACTTATTATGGTGATAATTGTAACAGGACATGTAGTGATGGATGTATCAACAGTTGGTGTTCTCCTTATGGTGGATTTTGTAGATGTAAGGATACCTATTACGGTGAGAAATGCGAAAATGAATGCAGTAACAAATGTATCAACGAACAATGTAGAGAATCATCAGAACCAGATAAACCACGGTGTACAGTTGGATGTATTGATGGTTATAAAGGTTCTTACTGTCAAACACCATGCCCTGTTAACTGTGTAACATGTAACACTACTGGCTGTTCTGTTTGCAATCTTGGATGGTACGGATCTAATTGTCAAAAGCGATGCTCTGAGAATTGTCGCAATCAATGTGATTTGATATCTGGCGAGTGCAAACAATGTGTAGGCAACAACACATTTGGCAGGTTTTGTAATTCAACTTGCAGTAATGGATGTAGAAGTCAAGGTATAGATAAAACATGTAACAGAACGGGTGATTGTTTATTTGGCTGTGTTGATGGTAATTATGGTAACAGCTGTCAGTTGAAATGTGCTAAATATTGTAGTGGGGGCTGTAGTAAACAAAATGGTCGGTGCAATGATTGCGTTCCAGAATTTTATGGTAATTACTGTAACAATTCCTGCAGCAATACGTGTTTAGAAGGATGTAGAGGAACGGATGGTTACTGTAATAAATGTATGAATGGTTATTATGGGCGAACATGTAGTCAAACGTGCAGTAAGACTTGTGAAGGGGGGTGTAATAGAGATGGTAAATGTTTACGATGTTCAAAAGGTTTTTATGGTGACTACTGTGACATGAAGTGTAGTAGTAATTGTATAGATTCAGTTTGTGAAGGACCAACTAACAATCCAAAGTGTTCTAAAGGATGTGTTGAAGGGAAGACGGGCCGATATTGTGAACGTGGATGCCCACAGCATTGTATTAACTGTGACCAATTCAACAGATATCAATGTTCAACATGTGAAGATGGTTGGAGAGGAACTTATTGTTCAGAGCGTTGTCCAGAACATTGTATCAAATGTAATCAAAACGGACAATGTGTATCCTGCAAATCTGGTTGGTTTGGGAAACAATGCGATGAGCGATGTCCTACACGGTGTCTTGGTGATAGTTGTAATCTTAACGGACATTGTAAGTCATGTGAACTAGGGCGATTTGGACAAAGATGTCGTGAATTTTGTCCGTCTGGATGTTTAGAAGATAATTGTACTATAAATGGAACTTGTATGGCCTGCAGGCAAGGTAGATTTGGTATAAGATGCAGAGACTTCTGTCCTACTGTATGTCCAGAGATCTGCCATATGAACGGGTCTTGTAAATCATGTTCATCTGGGTCCTTTGGCCCCATGTGTAGTAGAACCTGTCCTATAGGATGTTTAGATAATATATGTAACATGGATGGTACGTGTAAAGTTTGTAAACATGGATATTATGGAATAACCTGTGACAAAACGTGTAGTACCAGTTGTAAATCTATCACTGGTGTAACTGTATGTAATATAACAGATGGTTCATGTATGGATGATTGTGGAGATGGTACATCTGGACATAACTGTACAGAAGGTAAGAAGATTTTGCATTAATTTGTTGTTGCTTGTAAAATGGTTTTCGTTACTGTGGGTATACAGTCTAAATACAGTATAGCTATGAAACAATATGAAATGAAATGAAATAGGGTTTAACTTCCTACTGTTCTGCTTCTAACCTGGGCTAATGAAGACGGGCATACGCCATACAGTGTGCTATGAAGGAAATTTTGCCTGGACAGCGGCGCTACGGCCTACTCTTATATCGAATTCCAACTGCCAAGGGATCTTTTACGTGCACACCAATGTGTACACGGGACCTCGGTTTCTTGTCCCATCCGAACGACTAGACAGCTGTCCCTGTCAGGCCCTCCGTCCTGCATCACTGACAAGAGGGAAACCACGCCGGAAATTCTTGATGAACTTTCTCGGCCAATGCAGGGATCGAACACCCGATCTCCAGGCTAGCGAGCCAGCGTCTTACCCACTTAGCCACGTAATCCCCCAAATTAAACAATAAATATTCAACGATCATTTACGATGAAAACACGCTGATGTTATAAAATAGATAACTGTTAATTTTCCAATGCGTGACGGGTTCCAAAATACTAGTCTGTCAATGGCTGAAATACCCAAACGATTGCCTCATTTAATAACCTACTAGAAGTCACTTGTATCATACACAAGGCAGGATATACATTCACTTGTCATTTGATCAGTGTTGATATGAAGCTAGCAAATTTTGATCTACTGTTGTGTGGCATTGGGAACGAAATTGATTATCACATGTTTTAGAAAGATTGTGTTAACACTTATCAATTATTATTAATATAAAATGAATTCCAGGTTTATTTAAACATAAATCAACTACTGGTATAAATATAGGACTGGTTATTGGTATTGTTGTTGGTATTGTTGGTGTTATATTTGCTGGTATTGCATTAATAGTTTACTGTAAGAGAAGGTAATTTTTAAATTTTTGTAATAGTGATAGCTTTGTATAAATACACTTCTGTCATCTTTGTTGTTTTCAAATTCCGAATTTTTACGAATCCTTTTCACATTTGATTTGAGTCGTTATGGTCATGCGAGGCCGAACCCTGTCGATATTCAGAATTCCGCGGTTTCACGTACCATTGTCAAAAACTTGATACAGTCTACAGAATTTTAACATCATTTTATGAGAGGATGAACTCTATCGATATTGAGTTTCCAGAACTTTTTTTGAGAGACATGGTTTTAGCGTCCACTCGACAAACACCAGATCATTGGTCATTTCGAAATTAACACATGGTTCAATTTTATTTCAATAATTCGCTTGCGCGTAGGGGGTCTTTAGCAGTGTGAGGAAACCGGAAGACCCTAGAGAAAACCCACGAGGTGAACATGATAGAGGTTATCGTTTTAAACACACAAGCTTGTGAACACGATAGAGATCAGATTTTTTTATAAGATTTTCTTCCTTATCAAATTTGATCAATATCCACACGGCTGTTGTGTTGAGGGAACGTTTTTGAAAACTTTATATGGCTTTATTTTAATTCCGCTAATAAAACAAACCAAAAATTTGTAGCACGTAAATAGTGAATCTTAATGTTTCTTTTTGATTAATATTTTTTTTGCTCCATTTTCTCTTCAGAAATATATCACGGGTTACAGAAGAGAGTGAACCATATTATGATTATATTGCTGTGGGAGATGTCGTTACTACAAGTGCTGTATCAGAGCACGAGAATGAACAACGTCACCAAAATACAGAATTATCAATTGAAAGCGCAACCAATGTTTATGTAAACAGACCACCAACATCGATATCATGTACCAACTATGACGGGCTGAACGAAAGTACAACAGAGACAATTACTCCAGTTTATGATGATTTGATGTAAAAGATTTTTATTATTCTCAGTGTACAATCTAGTAACCTCCCTTGCTAATATAATGTTAATAGTGTATATTGTTTAAAAGCCATAAAATGTAAATGGTTGGACGATAAATATATATTATAAAATAGATATAATCGCATGTATAACCACAATTGTATGACGCGTGGACTATTCGTTGAGTAGAAATGAAATGTAATAATATTGTTTTATAAATTTTTTCATTGTTGAGTGGTATCTGGTAATGTGGATATATATATACGGAAATGTTGCTTTAACATATGGAATCGTGTAACTTGGTTTTATTTTTATTACTTGTGAATTGTAGCTTATATTATCAATTGCATTATTATCAGTCGCTACAGTTTTTTAATATTAAACTATATCGCTTTCTTATAAATTTTGTTTTCCTTATTGGGTGGTAGCCTATATTGTAATGAAAGTATAGTGGTATAGTCGTGTAACTTCGTTTTTTATGTATTACTTGTGAATTGTAGCTAATCAATTGCATTCATTATTTTGTTGTTGTTTTATTTTTGCTACATTATTTTGAAATTAAACTGTATTGCTTGTTTTCAAATGTTGTTTTCATTGTTGGGTGGTATATATATGGTACTGTTGGTATAGCAGCATGTTCCTAAAGCAACAACATCTAGCATTGATAAGATGCATGGGGTTAAAGCGAGATTAAGCCTTCTATTGAAGGTGGTATAGTGGTGGCATGTGGTAATGTTGATTTAGTGGTATGTGGTAATTCTGGGGTATTGGTGGAGTCTGTAATGTGGGGGTATGTGATATTGTTTACACAGGAGAGTTATTGTAGTAGTGGTATGCGGTAATGTTGGGACTTGGGGTATGGGTGGTGTGTGGTAATAGATGGGTTTTATATTGTATTGTGTATTGTATTGCTGTTGACAATGAGATGTTAAACCCAATTCCAATCCATGACATGGATATAGATGTTTTAACTAACTCTCTTGACAATTTGCCGTTTATAGATGTTATATAATATGTGTGTATAATGACAAGATTGGCCGTCCTTAAATAATATGTGTAAGGGTCATTGCGGGTAGGGACGCTGATGACAAGAGCTACGTGTTGACAAAATGCTATAGAATGTTGATAATACGTTTAAGGGGAAGCAATTCAAGCAGTATTCGTACAATCGACAATCGTAATCCCGAAGGCTGACAGTGGGGCTGAACTGTATATAAAGCTGTGGTTGCTTTACATACATAGACACTGGTTATGCCTAATTTGTTTTCACAAATACATCTTTACGGGTATATATGTAACATTATTTAGTAGTCATGAGAAATCATCTTATAATAACAATTTATTGATAATTCCGATGATAATCTCAATCTTTATAACCACAAAGAGACCAACGCGTCCATACAGATGATTTGTCATGATTATGTTCCACCCCTATGTCGACTAATGGCACCAAATTACATTCTGATAATTAGACAGTATACTAAGGAAAGGGTATCACTCGTATGTAATAGTTTGGTGCATAAATGGGTGCATCTCATCAAACTTATAACCGGGCAAACATAAACTTAAAAGAAGTTAGATTCACTTGACAATCTTACACTTAGACTTAAACTCAAACAAACGACAGTTACAAAGTAGAAAACACGCCTACTAAACATTATAATTTCTCGTGACGAAATAGTATTAAAAAATTCATAATCAATGATGAACGTTTGTGATTTCTAGAGTAACAAACATGAAATGGACCTATACGTTGTTTAATAAACAATATTATGATTCACCAATTATACTCAGCCTTGTCTAGAAATTGCTTTCTCGAAATATGGCAATTCTGTTGACTCTTTGGTCTAGAATCGGCGATGAGTTTATATTTTCTGTCAGGTTTTGTTAAATGATATTGATTATGAGACCGAAGGAGAAGAAAGTAAAGACGTGAATTAGAACGCCTTACTGGACGCTCTGTAGATTCCATTCGCCAGGTGTATATACAAAGTCACCCCTGCCAGATTATTGTGAAATAAAAATTTGTAGTCTTCGTCCATATGATTCATGAAAAAGTTATCCCCCTTTCTTGTTTTAAACTGTCACTATAAATGTTAATGTTTTACTGATATTATAACGTACATATATATAGAGAAGAGATGTAGAGATCAACATGGCTAGTAATATACTGATATATATACTTGTTTCTTGTTTTATATTTGATGTCAGTATTGGTAAGTTTATAATAATTATTAAATTCATACATAAGTATAATATATGACTTTTTGTAAATGATTGTTATAAATTTAATCTAAAAAACAGTGTCTTTTATTATTAATTTTTATCATTTAATAGAACGTTTGACTATTATTAATAAACTGACAAATGATTTCCTCGTCTCAATAAAATTAATTTGTAGACCACACTTTCACAATTGACGAGATATTACCTTTTAAACGTACAACCGTAGATTAAAACTGACAGTGATGACAAACATACAGTAGAATGCTTATATTGACACACGCTATTGATAATATGAACCAACACTGGATTACTGTACATGTTTTAGCTCTGGACACATGTGAAGATACATCAAATGCAGGACCAATCTGTAAACGTAACTATAAACATTGTACAGATAAACCTGGTGCTTGGAAAGTTTATATGGAGAAAACATGTATGTATACCTGCAGTTATTGCACTAAAGGTAAATTATTTCTTACGTGTATTGCTTGTTTCTGATGGTAGTCATCTAGATATTTTACTACAGGTAAATCATTTCGTACATGTGTTTCATGTTTGTGGTGATCATGTAGACATTATACTATACAGGTAAATCAAAGGCGGATCAAGTGGGGGGCATATACGGCGCATGCACCCACCCACCTCCTCTCTGGATCCAAGAGGGTGCACTGTTGAACCGGATTCTTGTCTCCGATTACTGGAAATGGTCTTTTCGTGCTTCTAGTATTCGAAATGTTCCTGGGAAGGGCCCCCCTGGTACCCCGTTGTGTGCTTCGGACCTTCGGCGCTCGCACCCCCTCCCCCTGTTCATGATCCCTGGATCCACCCTTGTAATTATTTCGTACGTGTATTTCTTGTTTCTGCTGATAGTCATCTAGACATTATACTATACAGGTAAATTTTTTCTAACATGTATTCCATTTTTATGTTGATAATCATCTAGACATTATACAACAGGTATATGTATTCAATGTTTCTGGTGATAGTCATCTAGATATTGTACTACGAGTAAATTATTCCCTACACGTATTTCTATATTCTGGTGAAATCCATCTTGATATTATTAAGCTATATAGCATGCCTGTAACTGTATAGCTAAGAAACACAACATAATTTATATGGCAAACAATCACTGGTTTATACACATGTATAGCACAAAGTAGAAAACATTATTGATTCGGGTAAATTTCTGTACTGTTGTGTTCTGTCAATATCTTATAACGACCCTCACTTTATCTTTAATTTGAGTAATTAAAATACTGGTAAATTAAATTGTATTTGTCCACAAATAAATTGATTTAAACGGAAATTAATATTTCAGAAAATGTAGCTTTAGACAAGAATACTGTACAGAGTTCATATTTTGACCAGACTGGATATAATTCATCTAATGCTGTAGATGGTGAACGTCAGGATAAATATGGATCTTGCTCAGTTACAAATAATGGTGACGTCAAATCATGGTGGTGTGTTGATTTACAGAAGCAATACACAATTAACGAAATCCGTGTTTACGGTGAAAACGGTGGTGTAGTTAATGGTAGTAAGTATTTATATAAGGCTATTTAAATTATTATTCTTAAAATACAAATGCGATACTTCGATTTTGGCGTACCATTATTTGATATAATGTTACTGGTAAGGTGCCAATCTCCATTATTTATACTAGTTGAAATATTGAACTCTCGTGACGATTTCTTTGAAATGTATCTGTATTTCTTATTTGTTATAGCCATACACAACCTTGCTAATTTTTCTGTGATTCTCAGCAATACTGGAAGTTGTGATGATGCAACTCTTAAATCATCAACGGTTTGTTATAAAGATCCTGGTAGTAATAGAAATCCGTATAGAATAGTAAGATGTGATCAACAACCAGATGTTGAGTTGACAGGACAGATTGTATTTATAACAACAGACATAGAATATACATCTCTAGGATTATGTGAAGTAGAGGTTTATTCAGGTAATACATTATGAATGTATGCATGTCCGAACGTCATGGTACGTCAACAGCTTATGCGGGGCTATCGGAGAGATCCACATTTGGATCATATTGATGACTCAGAGATATAAAATTTAAAGTATGCAAAAAGTACGAAAGGACGTATTTCAATAGTATGGTCATGGCCTCCTTTTTTCTTTGATTCCGGGGGCGTAATCATGATAGATTATCAAAAGAAGGGTTCCACCATAAATATTGCACACATTACACTGATGAATTGGGTAGGTTGGGTGATCAAATCAAAGAAAACCCTATAGGTATATGGCTGTTACAGGACATTACTTCAGTTATCACCGCCCAGGTAGCAGTGAGCTCTGTATAGGACTGTAGATTCAAGATCCTTCCTCGCTCAGCCTATTCTCTAGCTCCTTCCATGTGACTTCTTCCTTTTCCCGTAACTCAATTTTGTCCAAAAGGGCCCCGGATTTGCGACGGATAATGAGGTCATCACTGCTGTGATGGGGGCGGGGGATTTGTAGGGTAACTTGACGCATGGATGTCATGGCGGATTATGTTGAAAAATAAAAATATGACAATTTTCAAATAGATCGCAAATTACATAATATTACTTATGGAGGACGGAAATGTTTGGGACATCTCCCATGTTTTTAAAGGATTCTGATAAAAGAGTCCCCGCAGGATTTTTAACCCACACTAGTCTGCTGGAAGTGTTGTGGGTTTAAAGATTAATTAATAAAAATACAAGATGTGCGCTATATGGTAAAACAGTCCATTGGTGGCCATTTTGGATTGATGTTAATTACTCAAAACCAGCAACACTTCCAGTGGATAATATTGGTTTGGAATTCCCACAGTGAAATCAAAGTATGTTGCAATTTGTTTCTGGTACCATATATATATATATATATATATGTATAGTCTATGTCTTCTAGTCAAATAAGGCTTTTAGGCATTCTATGACTACTGTGTTTAAAAAGAAATGAAAATATTACCAAACAAATCCGCTTTCCAGTTCTCGAATAACATAATCCATAATATGTTGTAATGTGTATTAACTGATGTAAATCTTATCTCAATTTAAATAGTATTAACATATATCAATTTGACTTTTAATTATCAGCTCGGTGTTCAGATGGATATTATGAAAAATCTAGTGGAACATGTTCATCTTGTAAGTGCGGTGGCAAACCATGTGATGACAATACAGGACACTGTAAACCATGCCCTATAAATTGTAAGAATGATAAATGTGATGTTACTGGTAGATGTACAGATGGCTGTAATGTGGGATTCTATGGTATTGTTTGTACGGGTGAGTGTAGTCCAAACTGTAAAGACAATGTTTGCTACGAAGCTGGTGTATGTTCAGATTGCAGAGAAGGAT